GCATTATGTGACAATTCATGGAGCATTTTGGTCAAATACTAGTATGGGTTCTATTATCTTGAAAAACTAATACTACTATCAGGATTATTAATCACATCACTCACTGCATTGCCCTCTATGCAAAGGAGATCCACTGATAGTTTCATTGAGGAAGGAAAAAACTGGGCTTGATTTAAGAACAGAAACCTTAACAACTCTAGGGGAATTCTGGATTTCTCTCTTTTTTGAAGTCCCTTCATTTCATATTTCACAAAGATGCCTGGAGAATAGGCTGAATCTTAAATGCTATGATGGAATTTGGGAAAAAAAGTGCCATGACAGAGAAACTATGATGTGATTTAGACAGTGCCACTGCTGTGGCTTGGGCAACTGTCCTCTGGAGGCCTTTATATGTTAAAGGCTCGGTCCCTAGCCTGTGGTGCTAACAGCAGGTGATAGGACTTTAAGAGGTGTGGTGTAGTAGGAGGCTCTTGGGTCACAGGGGTGCCCTTGAAGAGGCTCATGGGACCCCTGCCCTAGCTCATGGCTTACTTCCTGGCCCAGGTGAGTGATGTTGCCCTGCCCCCTCCTCTGCCAGAGTATGATGTCTCCCTCTGGGCCTATAAGAAACAGGGCCAGCTGATCATGGACTGGAACCCTTAACTGAGGCAAACATTCTGTTTCTCTGTTTAGGTTGATTATCTCTGGTATTTGTTATAGTAACATGAGCCTGAGTAACACGCCTTCCTTAAGTCAAATTTCCAATTCTCAGTAACTTCTGACTCTACCTTCCCAGAGGCTGCAAAGCTTTTCTGCAATAAACAGTGAATCTGCTTTGTCTTAGTAGGTTGTGTGGTGACACTTATGCAATCAGTTTTGGACAATAACTTAGTTAAGTGCATTCTGTTTTTCAAAAAAAGGAATAAATGGTGTACTAAAGAAAAAAGACTGGAAATACAGAGGGTGCTAAATTATGGACAGGATTATTAGAAAGGCTTCACACAATGTGAATGTTTACGAAGAAGTTTAACAAGTGGGGAAAAAAGACTTACACATGCACATGATTTCACACAGAGCTACTAAAGGCAATAGTTAGAATTTGGGGTTTACACACTGTCTTAGAGAGGGAAGGAGGGAGGAAGAGATAGAAGGGGGAGAGAGAGGGAGGAGGAGGGAGACAAAGAGGGAAAGAGAGAGGAAGAGGAAGGGAAAAAGGGAGAGAATCAAAGGGAGAGGGAGAGAGGGGGATAGAGGGGGAATGAGAGAGAGCAGGCCTGAGAATATACCTGGTGATCCATGTCCCTCACCAAGCCTCATTTCCTAACAGCACATTTAGCTATGAACTCATCAATGAATTAATCCATTGATGAGGTTACTGCCCTCTTTATTTTAAAAATTTATTGTTTTTTAATTAAAAGTTTGGGGGCTGGGGATCTATCTCCGTGGCATAGCGCCTGCCTGGTAAGCGTGAAGTCCTGGGTTTGATTCCTGGTACCAAAAAAAATTTTTATTAGTACATGCTTATGGTGCATAGTGATTACATTCATCATGGGGAGCTGGTACATGTAGATAACACATCTTCATTCTGGGGACATTTTATATTGAAACCATAACAGATGCTAGCAGGGTGTGGTGGCATACTCCTATAACCCAGCATTTGGGAGGCTGAGGCTTGAGGATTATTGTGCATTCAAGTCCAGTCTAGGCTACATAGTGAGACACTATCTCAAAAAACAAGAAAGAAAAAAGAATTATTTCCAAAATAATTATCTACCTGGTATAAGACAGAGATATCATTATAGTTGGCAATTTATGTTCTGGTTTTAGACTGAAAAAAAAAAAAGGACAGAGAGCTTTAGTAATTCCTTCTCTTTTTTTTTGATGTGGTCTGAGACCTCTAAGGGATGCAAGAAATTACAGCTGCTTCCAGCCCCTGCAGTTGGTATATTTCTTCCTCGATGCCCTGTGGCATTGCCACATAACACTACAGGAATCTTCCCTTTCAAGTCTCTGTCCTGGTGCCTCCTTCACCTCACTGCCTATGGTTTTGGAGCCTCTGCCTCCTCCACTAAGGATTACTTGAACAGAGCTCTCGGAGAGCGGGTGGAGGGAGGCCACTGGTCCCCCTCCTCAGGAGAACCCCAATTGGGCCCGGCTTGCAGAGTTGGCGGTGAAGGATCGAGGAGATGAGTCATAAAGACCCACTCCATACCTCGTGAGGGGTCTGAATGAGAAAGTAAACATATGCTTATATTTTCTTCTGTACTCTGTATATGTGCTCAAGCCACTAGTGAGATGGCTCACTGTGGTCAGGAATCATACTAAGCATTCTTCCAAGCATGGTAGATGTAAGTTGGAAGTTTGGAAATGTTTTTCCAATCTGTAATTCCTGTTGTAATTTGGTTCTCAACTAAAACAAATTCATGAGGAATGTGGAAAATGACACAGAATTTGCCCCTTATTCTTCCCTGAACCCCTTTTCCATGGAAAACAGGCTGCTTTATCCTTCTTTCATAGTTTTCAATGGACTTCTTAATGCAGCATTTAGGAACTAGTAAGTCACTGTCTTCTAGGAAGACACCTAGCTCAGCAGGGGCTCCTTTGAACAGCAGGGGCCTGATGTTTATGTACCTGAGCTTTGCAAGAGAATCAGACAGCAAAAAGCAGGCTGAGATTGCTGCAGGAGTCGCTGGGTCTAACTTGCTGTCCATCTTCTGTCTTAATATTAATAGTTCAGTGTTTTTACCAAACACAATGGGAAGATGAGGGTTCTGATCTTTCCTTTCTAAGAGCGATAGGTTGCAATTATGTTGAGAAAAGAACTTTGTATTTTCAGACTTTTTTCTTTATTAAGTATAAGCTGAAGGAATAGGCTCTGTTCCATAGGGTATCATCTCCCCTCAGAGGCAACCCCAGAGAAGATCTGAAATGGAAATCCTTATGTAATTGGGTTTCAGTTAATATAGTGGGTTCCTAGTACTTAACTTCACCACATCTCTTGACTGTTTGGATCTATAGGTGGAAAGTCTGACTTAGTTCATCTTTTTTATGGGAAATGGAAATGGAAGTCATAGGAAAGGGGATATAATTTAGTAGGAAAAAGCTTGTAGGTCATTTTAGGCAAAATGACCTTCTAGTTCACGCTTCCTCAAGGGATACTTGCCCACAGGCGACTCCATCAAGCTCCAGCCCCTTCTGCTGGAGTAGAGGGAAGCCCAGTTATAGGGAAATGTGATGGGCTGGGGAGGACTGTGTTTTGTCACACATAGACAAGGAGCATCCTGCAGGTTACTGTCACAGAGGAATGGCTGACTCTGTCACTCCTGAGAGAAGGGTCTCCTGGGGGCCACACTGGGGCACAGCACGCTTCCTCAGCTTGGCTCCTGGGCCTTTGGAGAGGGCTGAGCAGTGATGAGGAAGACAGGTGGGCTGGGAGGAGAGATGGTACAGATGGGCAGCAGGGCCGTGTGGGAAGGGGAGCTGAGATGCCAAGAGCCAGCTCTTCTGGATCTCTTGCTCCTGGCTCTCCCCTCTGCAAAGCTGCCCCTCTGAGATCTCAGGCCCTGCCAATGGGGTAGCAGTGGCTGTGAGAACAGTAGGCCTGGGCAGAGCAGGTGAGTCCTGGGGCAGCTACTCTACACAAAGAAGGTCATGGAGGGGGCTGGTTGAGAAAAGCAGACTCTTCCAACCTTCCAGAAGTCCACTGTTCCCCAGGACTCTACTTTCTCACATACAAGTGGAACCTAGCCTTGCCTGGGAGGTGAGGAGAAATGATATGACATCTCTGATGCTGTGACATGCAGAATCAGATGCCCAGCCAGTGGATGTGGTCCCGCCCTCTCCTCTTTTCCTGGAGCTGGCTGCCTTTCTGGGCCCACAGAAGAGCTGTGATCACATTGCCCATGGGAAGATACCTGAGGACCAGCTCCCCGGGGACTCTCTGGAGGGCAAGTGTGCCCCTCTGGATCGGGTGCCAAAATGTGAGTCCTGGCTGCACCACCCACCCACTGCCTGTAGGACATTGCCCTTTCCCCCAGCTGGTCAGTGCTCACAGCATCCCAAACCTCAGCTCAATGTGTCTCTAATTGTGGAATGTTCCCAGACACCCAGGGACCCTGTGCCAAGCAGCAGGGCCTCTTTCTGACACTCTGCATCCCCTCCAGTTACCTGCCTGCCTCCACAGGTTGACACAGGGGGTCTCACAGGTAGTGTGGAAGGAGAAGGGTGAGGGAGGAGGAGGATGGAGAAAGTGAGGAGGGAGCTGGACTGCTGGGTAATGGAGTGAGTTGTGCCCTGCACACCACCTGGGAAGCCACCACCCCTCTCACCTGTCCGAGAGGAGCTGCCTTGAGCCTGTCCTCTTGGTCTGCCATGTGCTGTAAGGGACAGAAAATGAGAGTAAGCAGCTGTCCTCTGGAAAGTCCTCCTCCCAGTAGCACCCCCATTTCTCTTAGGGAGCTCTCTCAGTTGGTTTATGGAAGCCTCACACTGGAACTCGGCTCCAGTGGTTTTACTCAACAAACTCTAAGTCCCCAGACTTTGACAATTCTCTGACACTCTGGAACAGTTATGAAGTCATAACAACCACCACACCCCAGCACGCATGTGCACATGTGCGCACACAGACACATTCACGTGCACTCACACACCATCTCAGACAGAACTTGTTGCTAAGGAGAGGGCAACTGTAATCAAGAAAATATGAGTCCAACAGACCCTTGGAAGCTCTGAGGACTCACAGGACCTGCAGAAGCATGACAGCCTACATGCTGGCATGGGCTCCAAACATGGTTTTTCACAGGTCATTTCAGTCCCTCCAATAGCCTGTGAGGTAGTAAAGACCACCCTCATGCCATGGAGGCAGGGAGAGGTGGAACAACCACACTGAGGTCATTGAGCACGGAAGTGCAGGCCCAGATTCAAACACAGATTCCTTCCCCTGCCTTTCAAGACGGCTTCCCATCCCACCTCTGCCCAGAAGGACTGTAGGTAGGACACTGGAGGATGAGGACAGGACTCACCTTCCTCCTCCAGACCCTTTGGTGGAGGGCTCATGATCAGCAGGGCTCCCGAGGTCCCCACCTGCATTCACACAGCTTGCTCGGCCACACACATCTCCAGTCTGGAGTGCTTCCCTGGCCTCATGGGAGCCCGCCTTCCTTCCTGGGCCCTGACAGCAGCCAGAGCTCCGTGGCTGGAGATTGAAAGTGGAGTTTGGGAGAGAGATGGTTCCCAGCATATCAATCCGGCTACACACTTCTCTGCTCGGGTTTCCCTGCTGAGGACTGCTCAGCCTCAAATTTCAGGTATCACTTATACCTGAGGGGCCCAGAGGGGTAAGGAGCTGCTGGCTGTCTCCTGGCAATGACACCACTTGCATTCCAGCCAAGGTGGGTGTGAGTTGCATCCCAGGGCTCTTCCCCAGTATCCTGAGTCCCTGATTGGGGCAAGGCACTAAGGAAATTTCAGGATGTTCACACAAGAGGTCACCTGGGCTTCTGTTTAAAATGCAGATTTCCAATTCAACACTGAGCATTTGAACCAAGAGGTCTAGGATGTGCCCAGAAACGTATCTGCACTTGAGTTCTGAGCTCATGCTGATGGAGGTCTCCCATGGAGCCAGCAGCTCACTTACTAGCAGCTTTCCCACTGCTGCCTGCCTTCAGGGAGAGCAGATTTGACTGCTTTGAAAACTATCCCGAGTTTTAGAGGGAATTTTTGGTTGTCACAGGCCTCAGAGTGCCAGATTCTTAATCTGGGGTCTCTGCAACTCTCAAAATTGTGGCTGGAATTTGTGGGTGGTGAACAATGGCAGGGAAAGGATTTTCTTTTCCAGTTTAAATTTAGCAATTTCTTTCAATTATGAATGTAGACAAAAATGTTTGATTTTGTTCCTACAGAAGTCAGAGGTGTTTTTTGCACCTCCTTAAACTGTTTGGGATATCTCAAGATATTATTTATGCTTACTACTACTTTAGATCTTGTTATTTATTTACTGGGCAGCTCATGTACCATTATAGGACAGATGTTTAAAATGATTTCAATGTTTATTTCAGAATCATTAGTCTGTTTTGTAATCCTAATATTTTATGGACTTAAAATTTGTATTCTGATGTGGGCATGGTGGTGCATACCTGTAATCCCAGCCCTGAGCCAGAAGGATCAAAAGTTTTAGCCCAGCCTGGGCAATTAGGCAAATTAGCAGGAACTGTCTCACAATTAAAAAAATTAAAAAGTTCTGGGGATATAGTTCAGTGCAAAGGCTCTGTGTTCAATCACTTAACTGAAAAAAAAAAAAATCTGTGTTCTGAGAAAGGGTCTGTGGATCTTACTTGGATGTAAAGGATTTCGTGAAGCAAACAGAATTAAGAACCTGCCCCAGAGACCCAGCCTCTGGCCAGGCCCATGTGTCTTTCATTTGTTCTATTTCCAAGATGGTCAGGAGGAGGAAAGCCCATGACCTAGACCCTGTGAAGGGATGTGGTGGTGACGCAAGCTTTTAAATATTTGTCTCCTCACTTTGGTCTCTGATCCAGCAGGCTCCTGAAGTACTTCCCAGCCCACAGGCATAGGACAGTATGGGGGGTCTCAGTCACATTCCCTGCATTCATAAGCAGGGCTACCGCAGCTGTCTCCTTCACACCCTCAGGTCTGGGAGCCACCAGGAGTGAGGACCCTTCCCTTTCTCATTCTCAGTGCTGGAGGAGGAAGGCTTTTAATATATCCTTCCATTTGGGGGAGGAAATTCTAATGTTGCAGCATGTGCCTGTCCATAGTGTGGAACACACCAGTTCCTCCTTTCCCTGAATAATAATGAGCACATACCCAGGCTGGACCTGTTCTAGGCTTCAGAGACTCATCAGTGAATGGTACAGAGTCACTTGTCTTTGGGGGATGATACATTCCTGTGTCATGGGCATCTATGTTGAGCCCTGGCGTCTGGAGAAGGAGTTTACAAGTTCCTTCTCTCACACAACAAAGCCCATCTTTAACAATCATTGCCATGGAATTCAAAATCCAAGTTTGGAAGTGAAGCACCAAACATATAGTATTGTGCTTTTAACTTAGGGTACCACTTAAATCAGTCCTAGCACTCTAAATACACACATCCAGAGAAGAAGGCCTCATGTCAGAGTGGGAGCAAGAAGATGAGAGTGGTGTTTTCAAGCTATCATCCTGGCTGCAGGTGTGCTGAGCTCTGCTCCGTGCCAGGGCCTGCCTGGGGGTCTCCAGGCCAACTCCCCATTCCTCACTCTAGATTGGATGGGTGGTGGTGTCACCTCCATGTTTGAGCCATAATGGCCCCTGGATGGGTCTTCTGGTGAGTAGGTGACAGAGAGTAATGGGGCTTTGGCCTGGAACTCAGGGACAAATGGTTTTAAATCTCTGTGTGACATTGAGAAGGTCACTCTAACTCAGGTCCTTGGTTTTCTCATTGTTCAGGCTTAGACACTGTAGAGACAATTGCTGTTGTCCTGTTCAGTTTTCCTCACAGGGCGAGAATATCATTGCAGGGCTACAGCTGAGGGCTCCTTAGAGGAGACTGGCCCTGAGGTACCCTGCCCTGCCAACTCAGCCTGCTACCACAGCTAATATTTTTGTTAAAATAAGGGACAACTTCTTGGTGTTGTTCACACTCCAGAGCTCCCTGTGGGGTTGGGCTGCAGCTGGACTCCAGGGGGCCCTTTCTCCTGTCTTTTTCTCCTTTTCCCTCTCTTCTCTTGAGACCCTCTCTGGGCTCATGTCAGAATTTCTGCTGGGAACCAGCGCTAATATTGTCTTTTCTAGAGTAGAGTCCAAGACCTACACATCTCCCTGCCACAGAAGGGAACAGGAACTAGGACAGCCAGACTGGTGGGGATAAAGGACACAGGCCATTCAAGGGCAGGGACCAGGATGCTCACTGAAACCAACAGGAGATAGCACAAAGAACCGGCGGGGCGGGCAGACCTGTGCAGCCCCTGGGCTGGCTCACATGCTTTGGACATGGAGTCCAAGGGGTATGCCTGGACCCAAACACAATGATTCTGTAACAAAGCTGTCACCCTAGCCTCTCAGGACTGTTGGGATACACTGTCTGCTCCCCAGTCCTCATTTACCCCTAGGAGTTAATAATGAAAGCAATAGAGCTGGCCACATAATTTGTAGAGCCAAGAGGAAAATGAAAATATGGGGCCCTTTGATCAAAAAGCAAGACAAAGCAATTAAAGCCACTAAAATATAAATCTTTTCCTTTTTTACCAGTTAATGTCATTCCATGAAAACTGAAAATTCCACACTGCCAGGCACTTGCACTATGGCCCCAATGAGGGAGACTCCTCAGGGCTGGGACATACGGTTCCCCTTGGGGTAAGCGCGTGTTTCTTTCAGGGGACAGGGAGACAGCGTGCATGAAATCATCCCGGGAATACCTGTTAGAAGACCAACTCTGTCCTTTTGGGGAGAGCTACTGCTTAGGGTGCCAAGAGCCCATTTCCGAGAGTGAACCACATCCCTATATAACTGTCAGGTGGGGTCTGGATGACAGCATTCAAAGCTTCGGGAGGATTTCTTCTCTGTTCTTCCCTTGAGTTTGCCTCATCAAGATCTGCCTGTCCTTGGTGGTGTTTCCAAAATGCCTGTAATGCAGAACTGCTGATTTCACACACATGCAAGTTTCAAGAAAAATAATCTAGCTTGACAAAGAAACTAATATAAGTGACATAAAAGCATGCCTTTTAACCTTTCACCAGATGTTCTTTTTCTTTGTTTTCCTTAATACAAGGCTTAGCTGATTAATATTTGAGATTCGTGCATTGGATATTCAAGCCAACAGAAATAAATATTGCTTTAATGAGTAATAATATTGGAGAGGTGCACTGTAAATTTTTTGCACTGTAATATTTCATCAGGATGGTGAACATAACTTTTGGTCAAGCTATGGATGTTAAGCACCAAATTAATTCTTTTTCATGGGTGTAATCAGAAAAATTAAACCCTAAAGCAACAAAAAAATAACATGCAATTTCAACCAAATGTCCATGTCATCTAAATTTAGTTATGCTTTTGTCACAAAAAACCTTGTCAAAGGGAAAGTTTCTTGGGCCATCTTGTTAATTTATCCCTCTAATTAAGAGCATATGTATATATAATTAGCTATAGGTATCTGCTTACAAAACATCCAGTGTCGCTCACTGAATCTTGTAAACCAGCACAATGGAGAGGATCCAGTTTCGAGCAGGTAACACCTTAGCTGGATAACGTGAGCTGACGCTATCACAAGGCTATTGCTCTCCACCTACTAACCCACACCGCAGAGCTCATCGCTGGGTAGTTTGTGGCACAGGGAAGGAGAGGCCATGGAGATCTGGGTGGTAGCAATGAGTGTGTGTTTGGGACAGAATGTTTCTAAATCCTACCTGAACAGAATGTTAATTTCTGAACGATTTTTGATGCACTGCAGGTGGCGCTGAGGAGTCTTGCTTTTAAGGAGCTGTGGAGGGGTCTTCCAAACCATAGCACCCACCGGCAGAAAGACCTTTAGCAGCATCCTGGGCTTCTCCCCAACAGATACTTGTAGTGGTAGCTCCTCTACTCCCCAGGTTGCAAACCACCTCTGTAGGGTGGTTACGTAGGATAAGAGAAATCACTCTGAGTAGTTTGTGGGCCTTTTCTTCTGGACAGGTGCAGTCTCCAGAAAGGAATGTGCTCACACCCTCCAGGCCAGTGTTGGGAGAAGGATGGCTGCAAGCTCCGCTTTTTAGCACAGTACATGGATTAGCCATTTAATTTTCTTGTTTTCAGTACGGTTCTTGACTTTGCTCACACTGTGCCTTCTGTCCCACCATACAGCGCTGCCCATTTTGCCAGCCTCTTCAGAGTCGGTTTTCAGATATGCAGGAATAAGACAGAGGATCTGGGTCCAAAGAGTCATTTCTTAGTTTGTTTTTAGTAACTGTTTTATGGAGGTATAATGTACATACCATAACATTCATCCCTCTAAAACGTTCAGTTCTGTTTTTCAAGTACATTTGCACATTGGCTGTCTCTGGTTTCTGATCTATGGCTGACTGTGA